CACCTGCATTGTCAGCATCATCAGCTGTTGAAAACCATGACTGGTCCATGGCATGTGCATTGCAAACCACACTGTTGGATCACTAACTCACTTGGAAATAAAGGCATGGAGTGGGTTAGATCATAGATATTTTCCACAGCAAATTAGTTAACATTAACTAGAGGAAAAAAAATTCTTTGTGAGGAGAACAGTCCAGGAAACCAATTATAAAAGAGGACTCTAAGGGGTATGTATTCAATGAATTGTGTGGGAAGTTGTGTGCATAACTTTCACTGAAGTCAATGGTCAGGGGCATGGTGGTGGATGGGCAATGAGAAACTGTCCTTAAGCACAGGCACCTGTATCTGGGTGAATACTGAAACCTATGACTTACTGCCTGATGACTGTTCATAGCCTGATTAAAAATTGGGATAACCAACCATGGGAAAAAAACCTAACCCAACCCATAGAAGGCAAACCAAAGCAAAACCAAGGACAACAAAACCAAACACAAACAAACAAACAAAAAATCCAGTGAGGGGGAGGAGGGCAGGCTACATGCTAATGTTTTGCCTGCTGCACCAAGCTTTCTGCACAGCTCACAACACTTCAGAAAAGGGGACAAATCTGATCACATTTTGAATAATAACAGGAGTAAGGAAGTAAAGTGACTTTGCCAAGTAGTTCTCTGCTTTGTTCCTGAAGCCCTTAGCAGATGGTGGTCTCAGCACAATATGGATTTTTTTCATGAGTGTGTTGCTCACATGACCTGACTCCCCATACTGGTGGTTTCCATTTTTTTATGGGAGGTATCATGGTGCAGTGCTTAAAAGGTAGCTTGTGCTTCCTCTGCTACTATCTATTTTGTAAGTAAATAAAGCCCTTCAGACTCCACAGAAACTATTATGGCATTTTTTCTCTGCAGTAAATAATGACCAAAACTCTCAAAGACTGTAACTGCATACAGGCAGCATTCCTCTACTTTCTGGATTACTGCAAGAAAGCCAAATTCTCTGTGGTGGCTCAGCAGATCAAGGGCACTTACTCATAAGTGAACAGGCATGCTTACTACACTGTAGGTGCATTGTATTGGGAATAGTGCTGTCCACATGTTGGGATGGTGAATGCCTAAAACGAAGCCAAATAGTTCCTGTGCCTGAAATCCCTTCCTTGAGAGCATAGAACCATTTCAGAGTACAGGCATAAACTGCATTGGATGTTTTGGTGTGTCTTGAATGCCAAATGAATGTCTGTATTTACAAAGGACCACGAAACAAACTCTGTGAGTGGAACTCTACTGTTACTGAGCTCCCACTGCCAAGTGCCTGGAGCCTGAAAAGATCTGTGATTGAGGTCCAGCACAGGGTAGCTGCTGTGGAGAGCTGTCATCATTTGATGTCTCTTAACCACTTTTAAATTCTGTAGTAAACATGGTGACTGCTGTAAAACCAGAGCAGCAGTGGGGTGCCAAATGTGTGTTCCCCTTGGAGGTCTCAGGCAGTCAATGTTTCTGACTGTGTTAGTCAGATCTGAGATTCAGGACTACTGTTCTGTGCACTTGTGAGGTAGTCCACCATCACCTAGCATCACACCCTGACTTCATTTCTTTGTCATTTAGACTCATATTTGACCTCTCAAGCTGAAACTTGCAAACTGTCTTTTCGAAAATTTCAACAAAAGCAGTCATGCCTTTTTTAAGTATAAACCAAGGAAAATCAAATGTATTATCCATGTCAAAAATCTTCTGGAATTTCTTCTGAGAAGTCCTAGAACCTCTGTGCTCACAGAGGAGAAAAATGAAAATTTGGAAGTCCATCCTCTGCTTTTTGAATGCTCTTTAATCATCTTGAAGAACACCTGGCCATGTTGTACCCCTATGAAAAAATCACACTTATTTAATGAAATCTGCTTTACCAGCAAAAGTCTTCACCATGGTTCATCTCCTGTGCATGACTGGACTTTCAGTGCACATTGCTTACTGAATAACCAAGGTAAACCACTACCCTCCAGCTCCCAAGTGCAGACCCTGCCATCTAAACAGCTCATGGGCAGACACTATGAAAGCAAAGGCAAATTTTCTCCACAACTCCAGCTTAGCCAGGAGATTGGGAAAAGGCACTGGGATAAGGTGGGTAAAGCAACAGTGAGAAAGAAGCCTCCCTATTCTGTTCTGGTTGATTTTTTCCTGCTGGCAGGTGGGTAGAGAGCAGGAAGAAGCTGGTGGGGCTGCTGAGGGGAGAGCACAACCCAGCAGCAGAAAAGCTGGAATGAAGGGCTTGGAGAAACACAAGATCAGTGACTGTGAGCCAAGATGTTGAGAAAGGACTTGCTGAGACAGGAGACTGTTCAAGGAAGCTGATGTGGGTGAGGTGAGGTCTGGGATTAGCTGACCCAAGAGGATGGAAGATGATGGAGTGTTGCTGGGGATGGGTGGAACCAGGAGAAACTAAGCTGAAAGGACATGAATGCAAAAGTGCAGCCTTCTGAGAGGTCATACAATGACTTATGAAATAGTGAAGTTCTAGCACCACTTTTTCTTCTCCTCTAGCATTTAATGTCAGGTACATCATTAGTCCTGATTACTGCAGGGATCTTTGAGATCAGAGAAACCATTTGGGCTGAACTGTCTGAGAAACTGAAATCTCTGGAATATTTTAGTTCCCCCCAGTTAGGAAGGCACGGCTGCTCTAGTTTGTCTCAGAAATAAGGATCTTCAGGATTTGTTTTCCTGCAAAACTGAGACCTCCAAAAAAACTTGCCTTCAGCTTTATGGAATCTGCAGCAGTGACTTTCAAACCAGAGCCTGTGAAGCACAGGATACCTTAGAAAGTTTTTGTACAGCCTGTGAAAAGGTCTTTAAGAAAAACAGGTCTTTTGCTTAAATTCTCTACAATTGCAAATTTTACGTATAGAAACCAGGAAAAAAAATGCAAGTCCTTAATGGACAGTGTAAAGATACAGGGGAGACCACAGAGACTTCAAAATCAGGTTTCCTCTTACGAAGAGCACAGTTCTATGGAGCTGAGGTTATGCACTTGGGTGTATGGTTTTGCTTTATGCTCTTTGGGCCCCCTGTCTGCCAAGGATCATACTTTCTGATGAAGATAAATTGCCTCTGCCCATCATAGCTTTTGATTTTAGTTCCAGCTGGGATATGCTGATAATCCTGAGATACAAAATAGTCTTCTGAATATATTACAGTTAACTTCAGTTGTATAAATTCAAGCGTTAGCTGGATACTATAAATAGGCAGGATGTGCAAGGAAGCCAAGCTGAAAATGTGCAGGAACCAAGTCTTTTTTCTTTACTGCTATGCTTCATCACGTAGAATATTTTTCATCTGAAAAGGAAATAGTATGCACGTGCTTTGTGGCTGCAGTAATTAACTGGACATAATGAAGCGTTGAATTTCACACTTCAGAGAAGGAGATTGGGGAGGATGGGTAATTTTTTCTCAGTTTTTCTTGCTTTTAGTACTTTCTTGGAGGTAGTTTTCTGCAAGATTGGGTAGAAAGCAGAAAGACATCTGGTTTATATTACATGATGGCTGTACTTTGGCAACGGAAAAAGATGGCACTTAAAAAAAAAAAAAGGAAAGAAGAGTCAAAAAGGAAAGTTTGGCAACTATAGAATGGAGCAAAAATTACAAGAACTATCTTAAAATTCCCAGGATTTGTAATTTATTTTTCCATGCTTGCATTTTTCTGATGTTGCTGGTGTTAAAGGAGTGAGACAGAGGAAGTGCAGTAGGATTTTGCAGAGCACAGATATCTCTGTGAAACAATCTCCTTTAGTGAAGTTAACACGTGGGTGGTAGTGAGAGGGATAGAAAGGACTCATATGTTCACTTTAGAAAAAGTGACAGACCATCATTTTTTCTGGGGTTTTCTTCAACCATGGCCATTGAAAGTGTCTCTCCCTTAACTGCTGTTATCCATGGGTATAAGGCAGAAGTAGAATTAATGCAGATGTTTTTGGAAACAGAGCCATGTGAGGCATCTTTGTGATGGGAGAGGGGAAAAGTTACTCAAGCCATGCAACTGTACCTTGAGATGTGTCACCTCCTGCTGCTTCTGTTTCGCCTTTCCTTTATATATGCACCCAGGAATCAGTTTTTTTCCACCCTCACACTAACACAAGGTGATTGCAAAGCATGAAGAATTGAGACTGCTCATGGGGTAGACATTAGCATCTTTGGGTAAAGGTGGTGGGAGGCAAGTTTTGAGGAAAGGTGCTTGAGTAAAGATGGTGGGAACCTAGTTTTGAACAAGGCTACGGGGTGTGACCTGTGAGCACCTTCCAAGAGTGTCGTAAGTGATGCATCCCCTGGGGATGCCTTTCACATACGTCAGTTTGGAGAGTGCAGTGGCTCAACCTTTGCAGGGCTGGAGCCTGGAAAATTTGGGAATCTGCTTTTCCTGCAGCGAGGTCTGAGCTGTATGACTGTACTCCCAGGCTGTTCAGCAACTTAGCTGACTTGAAATAGAGTACTGGAACAAAATATGTTCTGAGTGATTTTTAAGTAAAAGCTAATGTGAAAATGTGGAAATTTGAACCAATGTAAACACATTAACTTTCAAACGATTTTCAAATGCAGTAAATAAGAAAATAGTGTACCTGCTCTCTTGAGATTCCTAAAGAACACATTTTTTCTTCTGAGTCATGATTTAATTAGATTATATTTTATTAGACATTCTTTACAAATTTTAAAATACTGCTATTATACATGCACAAAGGAAAATCCGTTTAAACAATTGTATGTAGGCATTCATTGAAATCAACCACAAAACAGGAACATTTTATGTCAGTTATCAATGGACTCAATATGTATATCTAAAGTGCATTATGTTACAAAAAATATAGAAAGTCAGCAGCACCAAGATACGTTCACAAAATAAATACACCAGTCAACAAAATAAATTATGGTAAATGTGACAATAATAATTGTCTTAGCCTTAGCCAAAAAAAAAAAAAAAAAAAAAAAGGAAAATTCACAATAACCAAATGTGCAGTTTCAGAGAGCAATGAGGGGAAAAAGGTTTTATTCTGAGCATTTACAATATTTACAGGTAATAAATATTTTAATACTTCCCATATGTTCACTATTACAGAATACTGCAATATGTCTTCCAAAAAATCTCTTGCTGAGAATGTCAGCGCCTCCTACAAAGAAAAAAGAGAGAAAAAAGAGAAAAATTAATTTTGACTTCAAATACATGAACATCAAATTAATAGCAAGAGTACCACAGACAACAACAGGTATGCTTTGCTAGTAAACTTATGCAATAATAGAGCCTGTTTAACAATATTAGAGTTTTAAATATCTTTTCAACACCTCTACTGTATTTTCTTCAATGTAACTGCCAGCAGTGTGATGACCTGCAGTTTGTCATGACACTGAGGCCAACTATTGCACTGTACTGTGCACTCAGAGGAATAGAAAGAGGCTTTAGATTTCATTAGAGCCTTAGATGAGAAGATTCTTGAGGGCTACAGGTAGAAGAATTGCACTGCCCTATTATAAATATGTCAGGTGCTAAAAAGAAAAAAATACAGTTGAAGGAGGATATGAAAAAGAAAGTCCTTATTAACAGTGGCAATCCTGCCCCTGCTGTGTTAACCATTTGGGGGTGATACCAGGCTTCTGATTAAAACAGTGCCATGGGGGCTCATTTGGTCTCTTCTTCCCACTGATAAGGCAACCTCTTAGCCAAAGGTCTATATATTTCTGTGGTCTCATGTACACAAGTGTATGCAGTTCTCATGCAGTAAAGGCTGCTCAGGTCTTGGAGTGACCTTGATAGTGTGTCTCTTTGGGTGCTTGAATGAGTGAAAAGGCTGTAATCCTGAACCTTTCCCTCTGTAAACCAAATAGTTTGATCCTAAAGGAAAACAAGTGCTTTGTCCCTGTGACATTCTGTCCAAGCTGAAACAATCAGCTGCACACAGTCCTAAGACTGGGGAGTTTTCTCAAGGATGCTGGCAGTGAGTTCTCTGCTCCTACCTTCCTTAGGAAGACATGAGGGCAAGAGCAGAGCCTACTCCTATCCTGCTCCTATCCTGTTGGTATATTACTTATGTTTAGTGTATTTAAAGTTGCTTAGCAGTGCTGCAGGAAATGCTGAAGGGTTGGGAGTTTTTTTTCCCTATGTCCTTGTGAAGGGCACATTTTTTTACTGCATGTTGGTTCCCTGGGAAACAGCTATAGGGTGGAATGTGAAACTATAGAATAGAATATAGATTCACTCTGCTGCTGGGCTGATCTCTGCAGGTAACATTCCACACAGCAAAAGTGTGTGGGTGTGAGGCACAAACCAAATCGAATCCCTGAGACTTTTAGAGGTGTTTTTAATGTGCACGTTGAAAATGAGACTACATTTACTATTAGGGAGTTTACTCATTTGAAAACTTTCTTAGGAAATTAAGTATGAACAACCAGATTGAATTGAAATAGGAATACAGTTGGAATGTCCATGAGAAATCATTTTTTAAGTGTCTGGAATGCTAACTTCAAGCTCCCCAATAATTAACTAGCAGTGTTAGTGTCATTCAAGCTAGATTACAATGAGTATAGCAATGGCACATGATCCCTAGAGCATGGCTGTGTATGTATGTGTGTCTGCACACTCAGACCAGTTTCTAAGAGGGTGATTTTTGTTTTGGCTTGCATTTCAGTCTTTGTTTTAGAGTTTAAACTAAGCCACATCTTGACAATGGTGTCTGTACTAAGGATAATCATTCTGTGATTTGGTCCCAGATTTTGCAAGATTGGTTTCTTTTATGAGATACTTCTTGGAATAAGTCAAAAGATCTAGAGATGACATCATTTTTGTCCTTTTTTGTATCTGATCTAAACCAAACATTTTGTAAGACTGAGCAGAGGGAATTGGCATGGGGATCTTAATTCAGGGTGTTGAGCAGAAAAGAAGCACAGAGATACAGTAAACAGCACACTTAGAATTTATATTTGCACTTCCTTGACATTTATCCTGCTGCATTATGAGCATCCACTCCCTCTCTGTAAAGCAATGATGCTTCTCCTAAGCTGCAGTTGGCCTTAGGGATGCTACAAAGGCAGCTTCTACTAGTGTGGCATATGGAAATCTTTCCTACACACATCTTCCTTCCCTCACACCAGCAGGTAGGGTAGAAGATCCTGATTCAGCTCAGTACAGAAGTGACCATCCTCTGTCTAAAATGTGTTTGCCCACTTTGTGCCAACAACTACTTGGACAACTGCATTGGACCTGACTCCACCATTTAAAGGACATGTCAGAGAGTTAGGACCTGCTTTCATTTAAAGAATAGAAATTACATCTTTTGCCAGCCTACTAGGATAACTAACAGTTTGGGTGCTAGCAGTTTTTTAGGAGCTAAACCAACATCTTATGCTCTGTTTTTGTGAAGAAGAATTTCTGTTTTCCTTCTTTAATGGATTCTCTTTGTTTAACCAACTTCAGTCAAGCGTCTAAACTACAGGTTCTCTTTAGGGATCTGTTTCTTGCCCTGGAGAAATATTGCATCTTGGACAAAAATACCAGTAAAATAAAGCTGGACTGCCCTCAGCAATCTGGACTCCACAGTAAAGCTGAGAGCCTTCAGCCAAGCCAACCATACTTCAAACAAGAATTGTTTGAACTAGGAAAATCAACAGGGTTGTACCTGTAGCTCTTTTATATATCCCATTGGATATACAACAAAGGACAGCTTAGTAAGAAAAAGAAATAAC